GGTTATTTGGAGTCACAAATTTTATATAATAAACAGCATTTCTTTTAGAATCTGAAAAAAACAAACACTTTTGTAAAAAGTGGGCTGCCTGTTGCGATAACAAGCTTCTTGTCATGGAAAATATTCCCCAAAGTTTGAGAATCAACAGATGTGAATATTTGTACTGGGAGTTTGACCTACAGTGTATGGCCCAGACTTTTTCTAACTGAAATATTATCATTTTATTTTCTTTCTTTTTTTTAAATAATTCATTATCTCAAATCTTGACTCTGGTACCAGTCGGGGGGCGGGGGAGTAGGTGGGGGGATTCAAGTTTTATTTTTTTTAAAGCTGATCACAATTTGAAAGGTATATTAAGACTCAAAAAGGGTAAGAAAATTAGTTTAAAAGCAAACGGTACATGCTTATAAGCAGCCGGAATAAAAAGATTATGTTGCATCAAACTATTTAAGAAATGATCTGACTAGAGAAAACTTGGGTTTTCCCTTTCATTTTTGTGAAAGTGAAAATAAAAATTGTGTGACATTTGAAATACTCTCTGTGTAAATGACACACTCTCTCCAAAGGCTGCTGACACACGGGCAGAACATAAATAAGTCTTATGAGGGAAACTGCCACCTTTTTTTTTGTTTTATCCCCAGTTCAGGGAGTGTCGGCCATGAGATGGGAGAGGAGAGCCAGGCCGCTCCTCGGCTCCTGGTCCTCATCAGCCTCGGGTGGGCGAGGAACGTGAGCTAACTCCTCCCACTCGCTGGCAGAGGGCTGAGGGCAGTGGGAGCGGAGATGCACCAAGCTATAAAAAAACGTTTGTTTTATTTCCTTCTAAGGCGTCCTGAGTCACTGGGCGCTCCAGCCCCCGGTGCCCAAAGAAGTTCAGCTCAAATCGGAAATGTGTGCATGGAAATGTGTCAGGAAAAAGACCTGAGCCAAAGCTGCTGGAAAGGCAGATGTTGTCGCCACTTGAACTGAATCCCGTGCGGGCAGCTTCCTGTTCCTTCCTGTGAGGAGGGTGTATGCCCCTGAGTGATCAGCTTCTCTGACCCATGTCCCAATATTACATCAGCCTTCTCAGCACGCTTACCCTCACTCCACCCCCACCGGGGAGCTGCTGAGACTTTTTTTAAAAAATCCCATTTGTCATCTCAAAGCATACGGCACGCCCACACTATTTTGCCTCCCACCCTTTAGGCTGCAGTTTCCATTTAAACACCAAGTGATGCCAACCGGGGTTGGTCAGAATCCTAGAAAGCCACAGGTAGGAGGTACCTAGTCCAATAATCTTCATTTTAACAAGGGCGGGGGGGAAGGGGGCGGGCGGGGCATGAGGTCCACAGAAGGTAAGAGACCATGGCTACAGAGGGACAGAACCAAAGGTAGGCAAGGCCTGTCCCACGGTGGTGTCCACATCCTTGTAGTCGCAGCTCCCGCATGCAGGTGGGGCTATTTCAATGCTCTCTGGAGCTGTCTCAAGCTTTGTGGCCACAGCAGGGCTCACTCTGTGACCATTCCCCTTCTTTTCAGCCCTCTCCCTGCTTCTGTGCAGAGTGGGAAAGGACACGGGCCAGGCAGCTGGGGAAAGATCCTTCCGGAAATAGGCGGCAGCCAGGAGGTGGCCTCTTCTGCTAGAGAAGCTTGTCTGGGAACCAGGGGCTGGGATGGCACCGATGAAGGGGAAGGTTTCAACTCCCAAGACTCTAAATGGAGTTGTGGCCACTCCCATTCTCCTTGGCGACCCTGCTCCCGGCAACAGTATGTGCTTAGGTGATTTAAAATGCCCATCTTCTTAACATGTATTTCTTTCCACAATTCCTAAAGAGACTTGGATTTAACGCTGAGGTTAAAGGGAAACCAATCTCTTTTATGGTGTACATTTTCTGCATAAAGCAAGCGTGGATACATGACTAGGCCAAGAGACTGTGTTAAAAATGTCAGCTAACACCCAAACTACTTAAAACTGGAGTAAGGCTGCCGTGGTCGGCTATTTCTGGCCCCTCACCTAGAGGCGAGGTGGAATTACATCCCTGGGCAGGTACATCTCGTTCACTGAGCAAAGGGATTGATAGCCACGCAAGCTAAAAACCTACACAGTTCGCAGTTAGAGATGAAAGGCTGCAGAAATGTTTATTGAATACAGTGCCAGGTTTATAAATAAAACTTATTTACAATTTCCATAGAGTTGGTCCCCCATCAGAGAGGTGGTAAAATCTCCAAACAGTTTATCTCAAGATTTACAGAAACTTTCAAGTACATTTTCTCCTTTGCAAATCGCCACGGTGAAGGGAAACTTCAGTAACGAAAGAGCTACCACCATCTTGGCTACAGACGTGTTTAATGAACATTATAATAGATCTGGAGAGAACACACACGCCACCCATGCCACTACCTTCTCACTCCAAGGGATACAGACAGCCAAGTGTCTCCTACAGGACAACTTCAAGGGATTAAAAAAAAAGGAAATAGTCATTGTTAGCTGAAGGGATAGAGTAAGACACATTCGTGGAATCTAGTCACTGCCAGAAGGGTAAATTTAGGATATACAATAAAAGGATTATTGAAGATATACAATAATTAGTTCAAATGTTTTAAAGTAATCGAATGAACAAAGAGCAGATTGACCAAATTTACATTCTCGGTTTAGGAAGAAGTTCCCAGTATGCTGAGGGGCTAGTAATATGCTGCTACTCCGACAGGCCACAGCAGCGCCAGGCCTACTGGACAGCCACTCGTTACAATATGGTTACAGGTACAGTCAGACATGCATTTATAAAGAGAATATAAAAATATGTACAGTAGCTAATTTTCAATGTGTTTAAGTTGCTGAAAGACACCAATTAAAGTGTGCAAAAATTCATTTTGTCAAAAAATCAGAAAAAAAAGCCTTCCTTGGCAACGGTGCATTAAAAGCTCATCCGAAATATCAAGCTACATTTGCCTTGCTCAACACCTACCCCAAACAGATGGAGAACGAAACTAGGAAAGTGTTTGCCAAGTACTCAGCAGATTTTTACGGCAAGTCTCAGGCTCAAGCGGGATGCCAGTTAAACTAGTCACTTTATATATATAAATATATATATATGTGTGTACATGTATAGAGCAGTTAGAAGGAGGGGCAAGAGTTTACGGGAAGGTGCTAACCCTCTTGCAAGAAGTACTGCCACGACATCCAGCTCTTTCCTCTCTCAAACTCATGCAGACTGCAAACACCTCGCCCCCGGGCTGGCCGTCCCCTCCAACGCCAGAGGAAAAAGGCTACAGTGGGCCCGGCTGCACCTCCACGTTCCCTGGGGAAAGCTGCTGTGCCCACAGGACCCTGGCCCTTTCAGAATCTAGTTCCAAAGTTGTCTCGTAGGAAAGACTGTGGGACCGCTGAAATGGAGTCCACCCAGCTTCTGGAGCAGTGATGGCGAACCTTTTGAGCTCGGCGTGTCAGCATTTTAGAAAACCCTAACTTAACTCTGGTGCCATGTCACATATAGAAATTTTTTGATCTTTGCAACCATAGTAAAACAAAAACTTATATTTTTTATATTTATTTTATATGTTCAAATGCCACATAACAAAGAAAAACCAACCAAAAAAAAAAATGAGTTCGCGTGTCACCTCTGACATGCGTGTCACAGGTTCGCCATCACTGAACTAGAGAGATAGAAGGCAAAGTATCCAGCAAGTCAAGTCATCCCCAACCCTCTTTGGAATTACCAAGAGGCCATCTCCCACAGGCCTGAGACTGGGTCAACAGGCAGGCTATTGGAACTCCCTGCAAGAAACATCCAGGTCTGTTAACTTATTCAAACCAGGAGCCCTCGCTCCTCCTAGCTGATCAGAACCCCCAAGGTATTCTTAGGTGTTCCTTCCAGATTCAGGAAATGATGAAAGCCAAACCTAGCTCATGATGTCAACCTCTCTTCCACCAACCACTGAGTCTAAGGACCAGTCGCAGAGGCAGATGGGCGGGCTCCTCTCCACGGCTCTGACCCACCCCTCTGGCAAGAAATCTAACAAGCTGCAAAACGCCAGAGAGGCAGGGAGTAGGAGAGGGAGAAGCCAAGGGTCTCTATAAATCAGCCCTGAATGCACCCAGTTGGCTGCCAAGAGCTCCTCACTGCCTCGCGCGCAGCCTGCCACTGTTCCCTGGCAAATTAAAACCTCCCACACACACTCAGAACCCAAACCTCCTTGCTAATAAGATACCACCAGTTAACACCCTGAAAAAATGCACATCCAGCCTTCATTTCAAAGAGTTCTGCAAAATGCAACGTGCCTTCAAAGGGGCTTTTTAAAAGCAGACCAATCCCACGGCCAGGACCAGTACCAGCATCTTCGTTTTGGTTACAGGTTTATAATTAGACACAACATTCCCTCTGGGGTGGTGGTTTACTTTCAAGCTGAGGGCTACCATTAGTTCTACTTGGGGGGGAAAAAGCAAAGTCAACTTTTTTTAAAAAGTAAAAGGAGGCTACGGTAGAGATAATCATAACTTAAAAATAATCGTGAATCAAAAGGTGACTGGTAGTGTCTTTTAGGCATGAAGAGACTGGCTTAGAAAAGTGACTACTGCTTCTACCACACACAGCGAGGATTGAGTTACAGACACACTGAATCATGTCTCTTGCACAGATGGTCTCTAGTTACATAAAACAGGTAATCAGCAGCACGATTGAGACAAACCCCTAAATACATGCTTGAGAGAAAGTGGGTTTTTTTCCTTCATTAAGAGCTCTACTATCTGAATAATCATTAAGCTACCATGATTTACTGTCCCCCCTCCCCCCCGGGTGAAAACACAATAGACCTCCATGTCCATAAACATGATGAAGCAGTCAGAATTTGCTTGGTTTTAGGCGAGGTCTCAGCTCGGAGGTTGGTGCTGGGATGCTGGGAGGGAGCGGGGGAGGGAAACCCAATGCTGGGCTGGGAGCAGTTACAGGTGCACTGGGCCTCCCCCCTCCAACTGCCTTGTCCCCGTTTGGATCTCAGCTTTACAAAGCATTTAACACCACTTTAAGTTAATGGTCTTTTTATTGGAAAAAAAAATAAAATAAAAAGACTAGCATTTACACAACTTGGAATGGACGTTAAATGGTAATTTCTTGAACAGCAATGTTGATGGTTGTGCTGAAGTCCACAGCCACAGCCTACCTCTGCTGGCTCCAAGTCACGGTTCAGGAGGTTTTAAAAACAGAGAGTCCAAAGATGCTCCCTTGGTAAAAGTTTCTTTTTTAAAAATTTGTGTGAATGGTGACAGCCTGACACCCATTTCGCGCTAGCACAATGCAGACAACGCTAAACCAACACACGTGGGCATGTCACCAGGATGCCTCACCGTCACCACGGGTCGGGGCACATGGAAGTACAAGAGGGACCATCATCCTGCTAGTGGGGCTACGTCTAGACAGTTTATCCTTCACCCATTTTTCTACACAACAGCCTGAGGTAAACCAATTTTAAATGTGTTTGCTTTCAGCAAACCAAGCTAGGACAATTTCTACTAACAAACTGAACTAGAACCCATCTGAATAGGTTTTGAATTTGTTTTTTCGTTTTTCGTTTTTAATACAAATGCCTGACTGTGCTCAATTGTCAAGCTGCATGCATGAAAAACTGGCCAGCCCAAACAGTGTATTAATCATTAGCAAATGGAACTGCAAGGAGTCCACTAAGTGCTTCCTTATCGTTAAGGTAGTACGAGGATTTATACTGTAAAACTGATGTGTAGCTTGATCTTTTAGGGGACAGGACCACCAACCAATACATGCAGATTTTTTGTGTGTGTGGACAGAAGGTACTTTTGACATTCAGTTTTGCTATATAGAAACAGAATGAGTAAATGATTTTTTTTTTTTTTTGCAAGAGGTAAGTAAAAGATTCAATTTGATTCTTCTAGAGGTGGGGAAAAGTTGAAAGTAGGTCTTCATTTTGCAGTCATCATCTGTACGAATTCTGAAAAGACAAATAGTCATAACTCAGTTATCTTCAAAAGCAGCTTTATGAACCCACCATCTCTGCTCTGCGTAAAAAAAAAATTAGTGCATGTCTAATGAAACAGTTACCTTGTTTATAGATTCTGAAGGGAAGACTCTTAAAAACTAAGCTAAAGAAACACCGTTTTACCTTCATAGTTGACTTGTCCATCTCCATCAATATCTGCTTCTCTGATCATTTCATCTACTTCTTCATCTGTTAGTTTTTCTCCTAAGTTTGTCATGACATGACGTAGTTCTGCCGCACTGATGTACCCATTGCCATCCTGTGAACATTCAGCAATTGTTAGCAATAGGGGCTGATAGTGGGTCAGTGTGGGCAAATAGGTCTTTGACTCAATTATGCCCTCTCAAGTTACTGCCAACTCTGCTCTCGTCGACAATTCGATCTCCAGTCCCCTCCTCTACCCACTATGTACATGCAGTCTGCGAGGGCAGAATACACAGGGGGGTTTCAAAAGCTAATAGAAATTTCCCCAATCAAGAAACTTGGTTCAAATTTTCTCAGCTATTTATTATGCTTTCCCTTACTCGATAAAGTTACTGCAATAAGTCGGGGTTATTTGAAAGTGAGATTTCAGAGGTTCGGGCAGTTAGGTAAGTGTTCTAACTAGAACAGATTGTTGAAGCTTTTAGCAAGGAGAGCAAAAAAGCAGTACTTAAGTACCATCTGCAATGCAGATGCAGGATTACCTTGTCAAAGACTCGGAATGCCTCGCGGATTTCTTCTTCGCTGTCTGTATCTTTCATTTTTCTAGCCATCATAGTCAAAAATTCTGGGAAGTCAATGGTGCCATTGCCTCAAGTGAAAACAAAAAGTTTGTGTAAAATAAGTGCTCCAGCAATGCTCCTCTGCAGTAATAATTTTAGAACCACTTTATGGAATGGTAAGCCCTTGCTAGGACAAACTGGTAAATTATTTTATTTGGTTGAACCATTTGTAAGTTTAAACTGTTGCAATACTTCACAGGGCGATTTCACATGATTCAAATTAACAATCAATGCCCTGCACAGCATTTAGAATGCAAAGGAAACTGCGTATACAGAACCATGACCACTGAAGGGGGTTGTTCGGTTCAGGAGAAAAAAGCACACAGCACTGAAGGCTGACTCTTTCCGCTCCCAAGGGAAGCATTCCAGATTGTCTCTCCCGCCCTCCTCCCCTCCCGCCCCCGCTCCAAGTTAGGGCAATCAGAGGGAGCCAACTCGCCCTTGGCTAGTGGTGCTGGTCAAGGCCTAGATTTGGGCCCCCAGGGATGAAAAGGATCATGATGGGGACAAACTGACTTTATTATGCCATGGACCATAAGGCGTTAGAACGTCTTCTCCGGGGGCATTTCTCAGCCACGTTATGAGAAGTCACCTAATGGCTTTCTCCCCACTCAGTATCTTTATTTCCCATTAAGGGCAAAACTCAGAAGTGTTTTCACAGCTCAGACCATTAACATGAGAAAACTGTGTCAAAAGAATCTGTTCTATGGCCAATCTTCCAAACAACCCCTCTGATACGAAGTGTTAGATGAACTCGCCAGAGACAAACCACTCGATTAACAATGTAACTTGAATTAAGAGGAAATAAAGTTAAACTAGAAGGAGAAAGCTTTAGGTCAAGCTCCTCATTTTCACCAGTACCTTTAAATCAAAACAGTAATTCAACAGATCCTTTCAAGTTCTTTTGGCCTCACGTAAAGCATTATTGATATTCATGCAAGTCAATATTAAGTATTTAGCATGCTCACAGCCAAGCAGAGATGCATGTCCTTAGGCATCATCATATTTATTCACTGTGAATACCAGATTCTGTCACCAGGACCTCTCACCCCCCCCCCGCCGCTTGTTCCATACAAATCTCGGGGAGCCTAATATGCTCTGCCAGTCCCGAAGCTCAGTTCCCCAGGGTTTACTGGAGAAACTTGATAACCTTAGCACACTGGAGAGAACTATGGACAACCTCTTTTTCCAAAGCAATATTAAGGCTGAAAACAGTCTTTAGAAATAATGTGAATGGGCTAAAACCATCGTTAAAGAGTTTAACCAAAGTCCCTGCTTCTAAATGTATGTGACACATCTGACTCAACTTTTATCACCTTTCAAAACCCAATTTTTAAATGACTACTATCAAGTCAATCATCTAGAAAGTAGTCCAGATCCAAATTCTTCTTAGATCACCTTTTAAAAATGTCCTACAATGTTGTGTAGTACATTTACTAGTGTGTGTGTGTATGTGTGTGTGTATATGTATACGATTTTTTGGAGGGGGTCTCAAAAACTGTTTACTGATAGAAGCAAGCAATAAAAGATCCATTGCCCACTGTTCTAGAATTCAGAAGATGAACAATTGGTGACCAACTGCTACAGGGGTTCTTGCTTGTTCCTTCCTGCCCCAGGCCTTATACATCCTCTTCTTCTGTTAGATTCTGCAGATCTATTCCCTAGTCCATCACGACCCCACACCTCCAAGCCTCACAAGGACTCAAAAATTCTCTTCAATAAACACATCTACAGCTCACACTGTATCCAATTCTGTTAGCATCTAACAATGCTCTTCACCTCCTCTTAGAGACAATAAGCTTGTTAAAAAGGTCGATGGCTATTTGTCTTTTACTTCCCCACAGAATTCAGTGCAGACTCATGGGCCAGTTGATAAAAGACTGAGCTGTAGGTCACGGCAGGTAGAAAAGAACAATACAGTGATCCGATCCAGGAAACGTTCTAGCCGGTGAGCAGGGCAAAAGGCAGGCCCATAATCTCCTATTTACATTGTCAGTGACCAGAAGGCAACCACAGAAAAGATCTTTGCACATTTGTTTTGCTGTGGGACCTGAGAGACGATCCCGTAACATGTCTGAACTTGAATGAACACTGGTGCTCATTCATAGTTCTAAAGCCCTTACCATCAGCATCCACTTCATTGATCATATCCTGCAATTCGGCTTCTGTTGGGTTCTGACCCAGTGACCTCATGACGGTGCCAAGTTCCTTTGTTGTGATGGTCCCATCGCCATCTTTGTCAAATAGGGAGAAAGCTTCCTTGAATTCTGAAAACAAAAGTTTACCTTTTAGAACGAATGTCTGCACCCAAGCCAGCCACAACGCACACTTCCCTGGGGCTTGCCAAAGCAAGTGGTCCAAGGTGTGCAAGCTATCCGAAACTGCCTGGCTTTATCTACTGAAATAAAGACTACAACAGTCCTATTTGACTGGCCTCTATACAGCAGACCGTAAAGCAAACACTGCTCCTGTTAACCACCTCCATAAAACCACAGTATTCTCACATTTTTAAAGGCTAAGCTTGAACACACTGAAATGAGACCAAGATTGGTCTGTGTCCCCTTAAGGTCCCTTCCTGTTAAAATGTCTACAGCCATACGAAGGCCTTGTTTCCCTAGCAACATGACGGTTACTAAAATGTGCATTCCAGGCAGCCAGTGCGTTCTCTCTACAGGGCATTCAGAATATTCCAAAGGCATTTCTGGTTTCCTACGGAGAAACCATCCCAAAAAAGTCCTCCAGGGAATATTAAAATCTAAACTAAAACAACTCCCTTCCCAATTATTATAATGGTCCTAACACTCATTTTCACCCATTCCCACAGATTTTAGAATAGCAAGCACAGGTTTTCAAGGTGGATTACTAAAAGACCTGTGACATAAAAATTCCAAACTACGTGTCTGAGTGGTAAACTCAGCGCAATCTCATTATATACAAAACCTCGCGCCGTGAAACGCAGTGGGCTACTCCAGAGCGCAACAAATGGATATTCTTAGTTCTGCGTCCTTTCACTGTATCTCCAAAATACTGGCGAGGAGTAACGTCTCACCTAAATACTTCTGCTTGTTTTCATTTTTATAGATTCTTAGAGAACTGTTCATATTATAGGGGAGAGGGACTGACTGATGCCTAGCTCTGGCCTGCTGGGGACTTCCTGAAGCCATGGACTTACCAGCAATCTGTTCTTCAGTCAGTTGATCCGCCTACATGGAGAAAGAAAAGGCTGTAATTCAATCTACAACACTGAGATCAACACTTGCTCCAATTACACTTTTAATAGTGACCTTCTGTCAATATTTTAAAAATGTCAACTGTTTGAAGACTTTAGCACTGTCATTTAATAAAAACAAAAATAAAGAAAACTCTTGATGCTGTTTAAAAAAAAAAAAAAAAGGATGACAAGGAAGTGAGGAAGTGACAGCTCCCTTGAGGTTTTCCTGTCTGGGCCTAGGGCTGTGCCGTGAGGTCTAACTAGGAAGGGTCAGTTCATAACTTGAAAAAGGGCACCTCTAGTGGCAAAGGGTCCCACAGCACGGGCTGCAGCAGCAGCAGCAGGCGCTGAGAAAGAAGAGCGCCACCTACTGCACCCGGGCGCCGCAGTCCCCGCTTCCGCCCCAGCAGGGACCTAGCCTGACGCTGCTGTCACCGCAGCCAGGATCTCGGATCGGTCCAGGGGCAGGCTTTTAGCGCACCTTGCGCATTGCTGCGGGCACTCCAATCTCCAAACCGGCGTTACATAATGGCACTGGGTTGGATTAACGGGCTTTTACATTCATTTTATGAGATACAATTAGGAGGGGAAAATAAATATACCGCAATGGGTTATCCCGCTAACTCCATTTCCATGTAGTAAATGCTTTCAATCATTTAAATTAGGCAGTTATTCGTTAAAAGTCCACCATTTGCAATGGCTTAATGCCCTCTGTCAAAGTATCCCGACTCAGAAGCCGGGAAGGGGGGGGGGGGGTGGAACCTCCGATAAGTGAGCTGTTACAAAACTGCAAATGTGCAGTGCACCGAAAACTACACGATGAGGAGACTAATCTCTTTTCTGGAGAGGAGGAACTCTGCTGGAGGATGTTTACCGACCTTAAAGATGACAACAGAGCTGCTCACAACGAACATTTTACTGGAGGTGGTAATGGGCACGGAGGTAACTCTCACTGCAACATGGAAGCTGCATCTCCAGCCAGGGGAACTGGAGAGCTAATATGTATTTTTATTTTAATGAAGGGCACCTAATGAAGCCAGCTACAAAACAGGTCCTAACAGAAAGCTGACGGTGTTGTCTATTCTAACTCTTAAATGAAAACTTTCACAAAGAGGAACGATGTTCAATATAGGGAAAACTTTTTTTTTTCCGTATTAGAACTGAGTCTTCTTCCTTTCTACCCCAGTGACTGCCTAATAGGTTTTCTTTATGTCGAACGAGGGAGACGCGATGATTTATGTAACGCCGGAGCAGCGTCTGTCTTGTACAACAGGAAGCGCTGCCACACCTCGAAAGAGAAGCTGTCACCCTTACCGGGGAGCACGGTCCCTCCACGCGGCAGAGCTGTCATGTTAGAGGGGCTATTATTGCGAGCATCAGCCTTCCTCGACAAAGGAACATCGCCCGATGGCACTGGCCTTGGGGACAAGGGTGCCCCGAAACTGCCAGAGGGCCATCTCCCTACCCAGCCCAGCCAGAAAACGCTGCGGGTGATGTCAGCCCAGCGCAGGGAGGAAGGGGGCTGTGAGCACACACCCAGCGAGGCGCACAGGCGCATCTGGCAATCTCCAAGCCGCAGAGAAAGCGGAAATGTAGAGGGCATCTCCCTGCGGACTGGGAAGTGGCGCCGAGTGGGGAAACGCAACGCGAGGGGCCTGCCAGGGGTGCGCGCCCCAAGGA